AAGGTCTCGGTTGGGTTGGGCACGGGAGGGTGGTTCAGAGCAGAGTGGGCAAGTTACGGCAATGGAGACGCAGAATGAGCCAGGCCATGCAGAGTCTTGTCCATACCGCTTTTTCATAGAATCGTGGGTTGGAAAAGACCTCTAAGATCATAGAGTCTAACCATGCGCCCAACACCACCATGCCTGCTAAACCATGTCCCAAAGTGCCACATATACACGTTTTTTTGAACACCTCCAGGGATGGTGACTCCACCAAGCACAGGAAGTTCCGTCTGAACATGAGGAAGAACTTCTTCACTCTGAGGGTGACGGAGCACTGGAACAGGCTGCCCAGGGAGGTTGTGGAGTCTCTTTCTCTGGAGATATTCAAGACCCGCCTGGACAAGGTCCTGTGCAGCCTGCTGTAGGTGACCCTGCTTCGGCAGGACGGTTGGACTAGATGGCCCACAGAGGTCCCTTCCAACCCCTACCATTCTGTGATTCTGTGAACACCCATCTCACTACAACCTCCTTTCAGGTAGTTGTAGAGAGCAGTGAGGTCCCTCCTCAGCCTCCTCTTCTCCAGACTAAACAGCCTTTTTGACTGCCATGCTTAGCGTGAGCTAACCACAGAGCCCTGCCCCAGCTTTGCTGAGGAGAGAAGCGATCTGGGTCAGCTGCAGCAGAGCCGGGGAAAGAGCTAGGAGGAAAGTGGTGTGGCCAGTCCTGGAGCACAGTTAATTAGCCTGTCTTTAGTCAGTTGTATCGGTGGACCTTGACTGTCTCCCATGTTCTCGACCATGACAACAGTGCCTAAAGATGAAGTCTTCCACTGGAAAAGGAAAACTTAGCAGAGGATTTTTTCTCTCTCTGTTTGCAGACATGTTTCTAATAAAAGGATTTATTCAGAGAATAATGAAACACTTTGCAATTCCATCAAACATTTCTACCTGATGTGCTTTTCCTTCCCTGTGTACAATTTTTTTCTCCAGTGCATAGAGACAGGGTACAGGGCTTTGGTCTCACAGCAAACCCTTCCTGACTAAATTGTAAGTTATGCTTCTGATGTGGCTGAGCAAAGGTTGTAATCAGCATGGTGCCATAAAACCAGAGAGGTGAAATTAGAGCAGCATATAGATTTTAGATAAGTAAACCCTAGTTGAAAGATGAACTAGCCTGTAAACAGCCTCTGTTTTCTTACTTCAAAGCATGCCCCATTGTCCTATTTCTCACAGACTGATGAAGCTCTTACTTGGGGCTGAAGGAACCAAAACTGTTCTCAATGTTTAGGGCTCTTAAGGGCTGCTTCCAGACTTCTAAAAATGTTTTGAAATTTTGTGGGTTTTCTTCTTCTTGCAGGAACAGATGTTGTCATTGTTAAAAATGGCAGAAGAATATGTGGCACGGGAGGCTGCTTAGCCAATGCACCTTTGCATCAGAACAAGAGCTATTTTGAGTTTAAAATCCAGTCCACAGGTTAGTCAGCAAAAACATACAACTTTAAACTTGGAAGGTATGTCAGATTGCTGGCTGGTGGTCATATCTCAAATACCAAGCACATGCATCTTTCTAATTGCGTCGTTGAACTTGTGAACATTGGAGAGTTTTATAAGTTGTCATTGTGTAAAAGGAAATTTCTTTCTTTTTTTTTCTTTTTTAAATTGTGATGCTGAAACATTAAAAAGAATGGTAAGTATATTACTAAAGGAGTGCAAATACAGAAAACACCATCTTGTTTTGTGTGCTGTTATATGCATGTTTTTCAATTAGGATATTTTAGAAATGTTTTCTGGTAAGTAAATGCTTATGACCCTATAAAACACTGTAGCTATAAAGTTGGGATTTTTTTTTCAATAGTGCAGTTTATCCAGCAATATTTGTAGTTGTTTGTCTACCTCCATTTGCTTTTAACATGCACAGTGTTTGCCCAACCAGGAGTAACAGTCCCTATGCTACAGTCTGCTCTTCAAATGTGCAGCACTTATTCTGACGCTGCCTTATGAAGAGGAGCCTTTCGGCACCCTGTTTCTTTGTTTTGCACAGATCTAATGCAAGGCAGCTAAGAGTGAATGAAATTTGGAAGCATTATGCTTTTACTCATACGGTCGGCTTCACTAGTACGCAATGCACAGGCTTACCTGTATTCTGACATTAAAAATCTGCCTGTGTTTTTAAAAACAATAGGCAATGTGAAAATGAAGAAAAAAAATTCCCTAAGTGTGTAGGGGGAGGGAAGAAGAAGGGGAGTGTTAGTCCAGGACAGGCCTTATGATACCAGCTGGAGCTTGAACCCGATGCTTTTGGGTAAGGGTTGTTTGCTTTCAGTTGAATTGGAGCGCAGGCAGCGTGAACACAAATCTCTCCAAAACACCTTGCAGTCAAACCAGTTGTTTAGGTTTAAGCTACGTGTAAACCCCAGCTCAGTCTTAACTTGGCAATTTTAGTATCCTTTCTGTTGGGGTAAAAATCCACCGTGGCTGTTGTTCATATATGGTTATTATTCACACAGACAGAGTGTCCGTGTTCTTACACTAGTTCTTACACTTAGTTTTAGAAACACAGGAAATAATCTTTCCTAGTCCCTATGAGCTGTCTCATGTCTTCCTGTGCCCCAAGACAGTAGAGTTGTAGATCATTTAGGTTAAAACTTTGATTCCCAGGAGTGTCCTTGCACAATCTATTAACGGTCATCTATGCTGTCATCCTGATTATTGGAAAGTTTTCTGAAGTCTAGTCTGAATCTTGTTCACATTCTTGTCCTTTTCCTTCTGGGCATGTAAGTATGAGAATAAATTGTTCTGCAATTTTGTCTTTTGAAACTGATTTTCTTATATTTTTGCCTCATCTTAGTCTTCTGTAGATTAAACAGTCCCAGTTTTTTCACTGTCTCCTTACCGATTAAGTTTTTAGACTTTTGATTGGTTTTGTTTTTTCTTCTAGAATACCTCTAATTGACCTAATTTGTCTTGAGGTATGATGCTTAAAATGGATGCTCTGCTCCAGGTGCAGCAGCAGTAGACGTCCTTCATCTGCTGTACGTGCAAGAAGTCTGCTTTATCCATGCCATAGATCCAGAAGTTTTTCAGAACAGTAGCATACAGACTCACGCTCAGCATGTGGTCTGTGATAACCTCCAAATTATATTCTGTGAACTGGTTTCCAAGCCACTATTTTGTTTCTGCCGCTTACTATTCCTACTTACCTGCTGTTCTTTGTAATTCAGGAAAGGTAAATGCATTTTCCTTATTTCAGACCTCTTAACCAATTTGTCAGGATCATTTAAAGCTTGAGGGGCCTCTGAAGAGCTTGCAGTCCTGTCAGGTTGGCAATAAGCATGTTGTCGTGTTACTGAAGTCATTGATGTGAATATGGAACAGTATCTGACCTTAGGCATTCAATGCAAAACCTCAAACCCCACTTGAGTCATCTTTTTTGATTTGACAGGCTGCTACTGATGAGTAGTCCTGGAATACAGTGTTCTAACCGGTTGTGCATTCCTGTTGCTTAACTGTCTAGACCATGCTTTTGTAATTTGACTATTTCAATGTTCTGTGAGGTTCAGAAACATTACCAAATCAAGATCTGTCACATTTACAATTTCTTCTTTTTCCCTAACGCTTGTCTAACCACCTGGAAAGGAAAACATCTTGTTCACAAATTTACACTATTTGGATTTGTTTTTTACAGCTTCCTGTATTCTCAGAGTTTGTTTCTCGTATTTTTCTGGGAATAAAGTTAAGCTAAGTGGTTACAATTCTCTGGATCCTTCTTTTTCAGGATAGATGCTGTTTATCTTCAGTCTCTTGTGACTGCTTGTGCTGGGTCTGGCTAGGATGGAGTTAATGTTCTTCATAGCAGCTCCTGTGGTGCTGTCTTTTAGATTTGTGACCAAAACAATGCTGATAACACGCTAATGTTTTAGCTATTGCAGAGCAGTGTTTGCACAGCATCAAGGCCTTCTGCATAATGTCGTGCTCAGCAGCAAGAGGGAGTGGAGGGGATTTGGGGAGGTTAGCAATCTTTTGCTTGGGAATTGGCTTGGCATCGGTCTACGCGTGGGAGGTGGTGAGCGATTGCCTTTACATCACTTTGTTCTGTTTTCTTTCTTCCACTTTTCCTTTGCTGATTGAACAATTTTTCTCTTTACCCACAAGTTTTGTTGGTTTTACTCTTCCTTTCCTCTTCCTTCGTCCCACTGGAGGCTGTGGGGGGAAGTGAGTGGCTGGGTGGTGCTTAGCTGTCTACCAGGGCTAACTCACAGTAGTCCTGGTATTTCCAAGAGATATTTGCTGGTAGTACTGGCATGGGACTAGTTAAAAGTACCTTCTTTATGCTGTCCTCCTTCAATCAGATAGTCTTGAAAATAATGTTTTTTCTTACCGTGTTCATGTCCTGTTTTAGGGATTTGGGGTATTGGAGTTGCAACCCAGAAAGCAAACTTGAATCAAATTCCACTTGGTCGAGATGTCCATAGCCTGGTGATGAGGAATGATGGAGCTCTCTACTATAACAATGAGGAGAAAAATAGGCTACCAGCAAACAGCCTTCCTCAGGAGGGCGATGTGGTGGTGAGTTTCTTTACCTTCCCCAGTTGTTTCCAGTTTCCTCTCGTTTACAGCTCTGTGGTCAGACTGACTGTCTCAATCAAGTTGCTCGGCTTGCATCTCCCAGTTCGGAAAGTGCTGATACAAACTCCCGTTGTGTTTGAACGGATCAGCAGCCTGGATACCAGTGGACTTCATACTCAGCATTGATGCGTTTCTGAATGAGGGACAAACTTTACCAGTGTTAGAAAAGCAGTTTCTAATGCTCTGTTGCGGTCTGGTTGCGGTATCTACCTGACGGATAACTCCCATCACGAGGATGCTGCGTTGTTTGAGATGGGACCTTCCTGACCAAATAATGTGCTGGGATGCATTGCATAGCTACGCACCATGCCCAGCTGAACTCAAGGTCCCGTGGCTAACTGGTTAATGATTAGAAGGACAGAGCTGAGCAGAGATAGGTCGTGGGTGGTAGATGAATTGTATTTTTAGCCAAACGTTTGTAGGGAAGGAGAGATATTAAGTGGGGAGAGAGTAATGCGCACTGAATGATTGAGTGCAAATGGAGAATCTTGAGATTTTTTGTACCTTGCTATTCCAGGTTTCTCAGAACATCTGGAAGTGACTTGGTTCAGAGGGTTGTATTTTATTGCTGTCATTTTCTCAATGTCCTATTAGAGGTTTATTTTCAAAAATACATGGGAGCAATGCAATGAAGTTTAGACCGTTTATCACCGCTACTTTTTCGTGCAGGATAACCTTACCTTTATATAGCAGTGGTTAGAAATTTCATGTTTAGAAGCGCCAAACAGCTAAGGTTGATGCCTTCATCCTTTACCATCAGATACCATATTATTCTTTTAATCCCCTTCTGAAATTGCTTTTTTCAAGGATTGCAGACTGTTTCAGGGTTTGGTCAACCTATGTAGTCTGAACAGCTTCAACTAATCACAAAAAAAAGTAGCTGATGTGTTACTGCTGACTCCCCAGTTTTCATAAATTTCAGTTTATTTTGTTCTGTCACAAAAATAGATTTCTGAAGTAGCGTATGACAACACAAATTGTCACACTCAGCCATACCGAAACAGTCGAAAAAATCATTTAGCTAGCAAATAAGTAATTTATTACCTTGTTAGTGTTTGCGTTCTGCTCTGTAGTCAGCATATTTATAGCGTTGTGTATGAAACCATGGTCTGTTGCTGCTGGCAGAGAAAATGAGCTGAGAGAGGTTTGCATATGGAAGTAGGGACAGATAAACTTGATTCATCCCATCACTATTTATTAAAGTTATTTCCCTGAGGAGATATAACCAAGAAGACCACAAACTGCTTAATATTCAAGATCATGGAAAATTTTGTGTTTCTTTAACATGGTGAAGAAAAGTCTGGGAATTTGTTTTGTAAACTGTCTTTAGTAAGATGTGGTGTGCAGTTCTGTGCTGCATCCAAACTGAATGAGTGTTAAGGAATCCTGAGTATTTGAAAATACAGGTGTTACTGGTAATTTATTAACTTCTAGTCCTTTGCAGGAATATTTCAGGTGAGATTTTCTAGGATGCTGTGGTTTGCATAATGGTGTTAAAATTTGCCAGTGGCTAAGAAAGCTAAATTAAGTAGCAATCTTAGATGTATAAACTTGTTGATGCTTTTTTTGTTAATTTTCTGTACTTTGTAGGGCATTACGTATGACCATGTAGAATTAAATGTATATTTAAATGGGAAGAACATGCATTGTCCAGCTTCAGGAATCCGAGGGACTGTCTATCCAGTGGTCTATGGTAAGTCAGAGTTTTTCAAACTGTTTCACTGCACGGACAATATTCTCGTACCAAGTCTGTCTTCTGAGCTATGTATTGTTCTCTCACTTAGATGAAACACACATCAATCATTTATTTTTGGCAATTACAACAATAAATTGCATGAACATACAAAACTAGGAAAATGCAAAAGTATATTTTCACCTCATTTTTCATGCTGCTTAATAGCTAGAAAACAAAGTACTGCTTACTGACTACTTGAGAGTGTCCACATGCAACAAGCTGGGGACTTACTGCACTCAGTCTAAAAACTGCTAAGTGAAAAAACAGTGAAGCAGGTGGAAAAAAGAAAAACATCAAATTCAAAGTAATGTAGACTTGTGGGCTAATCTGATTTATCTCTGAAGCTTAGTATTTATGCCTGTTAATTTCACATACTTCATAAATCCATTCAGTGTTAAATACGAATAGATATTGAATTGCTGTTTGTATTTTCTTATGGAAATAATAACTTTAATGTAGTACTGGTACAGCTGCTTGCTGTGTAGTGGTACAGCTCTTTGCTGCTATACCAAATTGATGCCCAGTTTTGAGACCCAGCAACTGGTGAGCTAGTTGTGGTAGCTGTTCTGCCAGCATCCATCAATACAACACCACAGTTCTGAACAAGAAAGAAATTCCTTATCCAATTAATCCCTGCATAGGCAGTTTGAGAACGAATTGATGAATTATGGAAGCTGGAATTTGGCCAAGACGTGTGTTAACAATTTACTCTTCCAGAACTTGGCGGTGATTTTGTGGTTCCCAAGTAGTCAGAATTCTGTTTAACATCTCGTCTGAAAGGCAGCGCTTCCCCTCGCCCGGTGCGTAACCGCTGCTGCGCTCTGGGTTGGCGAGTGACTTACAGCAAGTGGTAGCTGCTCATCAGATTCCCTGCGTTACACCTGCAGCCCTCACCAGTTTGTTTTTATTCCTGTGTGAGCTTCATCTAAGTAGTAGCCTCTTCCAAAATTGTTTTGTTCTTGATACCGTTAGCTGTGTGATATGGATAATTTTTTCATTTCATGGTCGGTTCCTGATGAACGGTTGGCATGTTGCCGTTTATATCTTCATACATTTGTAATACTGAATTTTATAAATAGGAAGAAAATACTCTAGGTGCGATGTAGAGCCTTTGAAGACTGTCAGTGTAGTTGACAAACTGTAGCTCCAAGCTGTTGGGGTGGAAATTGTTTTATGTGGTCACTTTGAGATGTGTCCTTAAGCCACGTGATGGCGCTGCGAAAATGTGGTGGCAGGCGGTAGCGGGATCCGCTTGCGCAAAAAGCTGTGGTGATTGACTGTTCCATCGTCCCTGTATTTTGGAAATGGTGTTACACAGCAAGGAGAATGCAGGTTGCTTTCAGAAAACGTTTGGTGGCGTGTTAACCTACTATAAATCATCTTTGACTAAAGAAGTTCTGTGCCTCGGGAATGCGGTCACCTTTTATTGCCAGGCTCTTACGATCATCTTCCACAAGTGGGCATAATTTCATCATAATCATCATGTCTCCTACATATAGCTCTAACAATTGAAGCCTTCAAATTGCTTTTGCATGGCACTTACTTGGTATAAACATCAACTATAAATGTCCTTAATTTAATGTGAACAACTTCTAGTCGTGTGAAGGGATTTGACCATAGAGAAGAGAGTTTCTTAAGCATTTGCTCTATCCATAATTCAGACTAGAACTATAAATAACTTTTTAAAAGAAACGTGATAGAGCAGGCAAACACGGTGTCAAGCTTGAGAATGTAAAACAGAAAAATGGACTTAAAGGTTCCCTACAGCGGGAACTGTACCTCAGGCACTTTTGCGGAAGTGAGATGCAAACACTGCACAAGTACCACAGAACTGTACAAATATACCAATAGGAGTTTTAACTGAGCCCAGGAGGGAAAAATTCCTGCCTTGGCGCTGAGATATCTAAATTGCAAACTAGAATATGGAGATGAAGCTTTTTGATTTCAGTCTAATGTTGCTAGTGTACCAGGTTCGTCTTGGAAAAAGCTGTCTTTGAAGGAGAGCTTGCTTTTCTGACTGGCTTGGTAGTTCAGTTTGCTAATGCAGTGCATGAAAGCTTTGCTGTGAAAATCCTCAGCAGTTTCTTTTTTATATTCTACGTTGAAGGTGGTAACACTTGTGTCTCAGATTATGCAGGGGGTCCAAAACTGGGAGAAGTATTGTAAAAAGACCGTTAACTTCCAGTGTAAAGAAGCAACAGAGAAGCTTTCTTTGGATCACATGCTAAAACAGATGGTCTGACACCAAGCATTGCAGACATCTGAAACTTTGTAAACCTCCAGAAAAATCATTGCAGGCAGCTGATACTGCAGCAGAATTAGGAAGTGGACAGAAAAATACGCAGCTGAGGAGGTGACAGCCCTGCAATATGTATCTGGTGATGTCCTTAATCTGTAGACTTGTGTAGAAACAGAGTAGAAAATGTGGAGGGAATTGCCTGAAGCCCTGCTTACACTCCCGGTGAAATCAGAGGTGGCGTTCACATTGACTTCACCAGGGGCTGTTACCAACTGACGTACACAGCAGGAGAGAGATATGATTTGCTCTCCCTGGATATGTGTGTAGGGCTTTGGCAAATTTGTGGAAGGTACTTTTTTTAATTGTGTTGTGTATATGTAACAGATGTATTGGAGAATACTCTTCATGGATTGAGCATAGTATGTAGTCTAGTAAGATGGTGTAATAGAGGATCGCACTGAGTGTTCCTTCTCTAATTCCTTCTGTTTGGTTCTCTTCTGCAGTTGATGACAGTGCCATTCTGGATTGTCAGTTCAGTGATTTTTATCATACGCCTCCACCAGGGTTTGAAAAGATCCTCTTTGAGCAGCAAATCTTCTGAATGTCTTCATACCGAAAATTTGCACCCTGCACTGTTACAAAAGCTTTGTCATCTTAAATAAGGCTTCACTTTTAGGAAACATATCTGTATTTTTAGTAAGTACTTGTGACTGTTGTCTGCAGAATTAATACGTTAACTGCAACACCAGGTAACTCTGTTGCAAATACGAGATTTCTGGAAATGTTTTGTGGCTGAAAATGAGTGTTTTGGGACAGGGTTTTTCTCTGATTTGTACTTGATGCATAGCGAGACCAAGGGAGATTATTGTCATCAGTATTACGTTCAGTATTTTGAGTAAACTGGAGCTCTATAAAGCAAGTAGTTCTTATGCACATGGTAGCTATGGAGACGGATAGTTCTCATTTTTTTTCCAACTTTTTTCACAAAAGTTATGTACTTTGTTTAAAGGAAGCACTGTGTTTCTAGTCTGCGATTTGGAGTTGCGGTGTTCCAGTTGCGCACGATGACTAATAATAACAAAGGCATAACTAGCAGCTAGCTACTTTCTTTGCAAGGTGTAATTTAATCCATTTCTTCAATCTTAGACCAGCAAATGTAACTTATCTATTTCTCCTAGCTTTTCATTTGCTTTTAATAGGACACTTCCTAGTAATACCTTTTTGTTGGACCTTAAAGAGTAAACCTGAACACGGCCTGTGTTTTTCAGGACCACCATGCTGTGTTACTCTGGTAGGAGAGTAAGTACGGATCACTCAACTTGGGTATGCAAAGAGCCAGGTGAAGGGTGTGAGATGTTACGGTGAAGCCTTACATCTAAACTGTAAATTAGATTATTCTATTATGGAATAGCATATTTAATTTCTTTGTGAATCATTTATAAATTATTAATGGCTAAGACATTGTTCTAAAATGTGATGCCCTCGAATATGAATTGTGAGATGCTTTTTTTTCCCCTCTTGTCATATTTAATATACTTCCTAGAAGAGTTTTTATTGTAAAGAAAATCTTCATACTGGATGTTTGTTTTTTGGTTTTGGCTCTTCCTGGGTTAATGCATTTGCATAAATGAATGATTTTATTTAAATATTTTTAGAAATTATCTGATTCTGAAATTTTCAAATACAAACAGCTTTCTCAAAGCCTTTCACCTTATGATTTTCCTGCGTCTGTCTTTTCATTCTGAGCGGCCCGTGTTTGCCTTCCTTTTAGCCTTGCCATCACATGACAGTGTCGGGTAGAACTCTTCAGCCTGAAAGGAATGATGCCCTTGTCAGCATTATGGTGCAGAGCTAGGGAGATTAGAGGGCAGTTTTATTGTCTCCCCTTGAAATCTGCTCTGCTTTGCTGTGGTCAGGTATATAATCTGAGTTAAGCAAAACATTCAGGTGTTTTGTTTCAGTTTCCCCTGTAGATGTTTCGAGCAGTTTCCCCAGTAGACATGGGAGCAGCCATCCCTGCTAGGGCAGAGGCTTCTCTGGTGGGTTGACCCCGGCTGGATGCCGGGTGCCCACCAAAGCTGCTCGATCACTGCCCTCTTCAGCTGGACGGGGCGAGAAAATATGACGAAAGGCTTGTGGGTCAAGAGGAGGACAGGGAGATCACTTGGCGATTACTGTCAAAACACACATGACTTGGGGAAAATTAATTATTACCGATCAAATCAGAGTAGGATAACGAGAAAACAAAAACTAAGTCTTAAAACACCTTCCCCCCACCTCTCCCTTCTTCCCCTCCTTAAAATTCACTCCCAATTTTCCACCTCCTCTCCCCGAGCAGCATAGGGGGATGTTCATCACAAGTCTCTGCCGCTCCTTCCTCCTGAGGGGGAGGACTCCTCACACTCTTCCCTGCCCCAGCGTGGGTCTTTCCCACAGGGTGCAGTCCTTCAGGAATAGGCTGCTCCAGCGTGGGTCCCCCACAGGGTCACAATCCCCGACAGCAAACCTGCTCCAGCATGGGCTCCTCTCTCCATGGGTTCACAGGTCCTGCCAGGAGCCTGCTCCAGTGTGGACTTCCCACAGGGTCTTAATCTCTTTCGGGCATCCACCTGCTCTGGCGTGGGGTCCTCCACAGGCTGCAGATAGATGTCTGCTGCACCGTGGACCTTCATGGGCTGCAGGGGGACAGCCTGCCTCACCATGGTCTTCACGGGCTGCAGGGGAATGTCTGCTCTGGCGCCTGGAGCACCTCCTCCCCCTCATTCACCGACCTTGGTGTCTGCAGGGTTGTTTCTTTCACATGTTCTTACTCCCCTCTTCAAGCTATCATTCTGCACGGTTTTTCCCCTTCTTAAATGCATTATCCCAGAGGCGCTACCACCATTGCTGAGGGGCTTGGCTTTGGCCAGTGGCGGGTCCATCTTGGAGCCGGCTGGCATTGGACATAGGGGAAGCTTATGGCAGCTTCTCACAGAAGCCACCCCTGTAGCCCTCCTGCTACCAAAACCTTGCCGTGCAAACCCAATATCGCTTCCATGCAGACTGAGCTTCAGATGGCCATTGCAGCCCTCCAAGTCCCAGGTTTCAGGGATTGCCTGGGGCCTGCCTCTGAGGCCCAGAGAGATGGCCCTCTGTCCTTCGGGAGGTGTGCTGTTTCAGAGAAGCTGTGCTGCCAAATGGAGGAGTTACAGGAGGAAGTGAGCAGACTGCACCACAACAGAGAAGATGAAAGGGAGAGAGACAGATCTCTGAGATTTAACAGCTTGAAGATTCTCAGACCCCATCTGCAATAGGGAAGTCAGCAGTGTCTACCTCGCGCTATTGAGGTAAGCAAAACCTCTGGAGAAGGTGAAGGATGGAAGCTGGTCATTTCTGGCTCCAAGAGGAAGGTTCCTACCCCACCTAAGGGCTTACAACTGCCCTCAAAGTTGAAGAGGAGCTAGATGTGCCTTCAAGCGAAGAACATGGTCCACCTAACCCTAAACCATGCAAGACTTATGAGGAATAAACAGCGAGTCATCGTAATGGGTGACTCCCTGCTGCAGGGGACAGGGGCACCCATCCATCAACCCAACCAATCATCTAGAGAGGCTTGCTGCCTTCTGGGGGCCAGGATCTGGGATGCTGTGAAGGAACTACTGAAGCTCATCCAGCCTTCTGACTACAACCTCCTGCTGTTACTCCATGTGGGAGCAAATGATGGTATCAAAAGTGAGTCCAGAGCACTGGGGATGGTAGGCATGAGCATGGGGGCCCAGGTGGTGGTCTCAATCATGCTGGTGAGGGGAAAGGGAGTGAGGAGGAGGGCACTAATAGGACAAGTCAATAATTAACTGCAGAACTGGTGTTAGCAACAAGGTTTTGGGTTCTGTGACTGTGGGACCCTGTTTGCAGGTCAGCATCTTCTTGGGAGGAGCAGGATCCACCTCACAAAGCAGGGCAAAGCTATTTTCACCAACAGGAAAGCAGAGGGTTAAACCAAGAGTGATGGAGGAGGGGCAGAGTGAGGGAGTGATGGGCAGGTTCGCTGAGCAAAGGGCATGGGTGGTGTGATGTGATCACAACATCAACAAAATAGGTTTTAGGCAGGGTCACTTCCAGCGCTTGCATGTAAGCAAGGAAGTGCCTACAGGGCACGGTTATGAAGAAATCCCCAAACCCTTTCTAGGAACTCAACATGCTAGGGTGGCTCTGTGCAGTGTCTGTGCACTAACACACTCAGGGCAGGGAATAAACATGGTGAGTTAGAGACCTGTATGCAGCTGCAGGGCTACAGTCTTAGTGGGGTCATGGACATGTGTTGAGATGGCTCCCACGACTGGGGTGTTGCAAAGGAGGGATACAGGGTCTTTAGGAAGGGCAGGGTGGGAAGATGAGGAGAGGGAGTTGCCCTTTAGGTGAAAGAGCAGCTGGAGTGCATGGAGCTCTGCCTGGGGATGGATGAGGAGTCAGCTGAGATCAGTTTATGGATTAGAATTAAAGAGAGGACAGGTAAAGGTGACATGGTGGATGACTGCTGTAGGCCACCTGACCAGGAAGAACAAGTGGATCAGGCCATCTGTAGACAGATAGGAGCAGCCTCAAGTTTGCAGGCCTTGGTCCTCATGGGGGACTTCAACTTCCCCAATATCTGATGGAGGCATAACACAGAAGGACAGAAGCAATCCAAGTTGAACATGGAGCATGTTAATCGGAAGTTCCTCCTCCACGTGATAGCAGATCCAATGAGCAGACGTGTTCTGCTGGACCTCATGCTCACCAACAAGGAGGGCCTTGTTGTGAATGTGAGGGTCAAAGGCAGCCATGGCTCCAGTGACCATGAGATGGTAGAGTTCAGGATCCTGAGAGCAGGGAAGAGGATGAAAAGCAAGCTCACAACCCTGGAGTTCAGGAGAGCAGCCCTTGGCCTCTTCAAAGATGTGCTTGGAAGAGTCCCATGGGATAAGGACCTGGAAGGAAGGGTGGCCCAAGCAAGCTGGTTAATATTCAAAGATCGCCTCCTCCAAGCTCAATAGACTTCCATTCCAATGAGTAAATTCAGACAAAAATACCATGCTGGAATGAAAAAAAGAGCTCCTAGCCAAACTCAGACACAAAAACGAAGCGTACAGAGGGCCAACAGGTAACCTGGGAGGAATCCAGAAACTTTGTCTGAGCATCCAGGGACAAAGCTGGGAAAGTTAAAGCCCAGATGGAATTGAATCTGACTAGGGATGTCAGAGGCTACAAGAAGGACTTCTGTAAGTACACAGAAGACAAAAGGAAGACTAGGGAAAACGTGCACCCATTGATCAGTGAGATGGGAGACCCAGTGGCACGGGCCATGGGCTGGGTGTCATGGCTTAACCCACCAGCTGGCAACTAAACACTAGACAGCCGCTCACTCACCCCTCCCCTTTCCCCCATGGGATGGGGAGGAGAAATGGACCAGTAAAACTCGTGGGTTGAGATAAAGACAGTTTAAAAAGACAACAGAGGAAATACTACTACTAATAATGATAATAATGAATATGCAAAACAAACAATGCACAATACAATTTTCTCACTGCCCAATGACAGATTCACAGCCAGTCCCTGAGCAGCGATCTCGGAACCCGGAACTTGTGAATTTGCACATTTTGTGAAATTCACGAAAAAGACCAAACTCCTGGAAAAGTTTGAGCTCCTGGACAAGACAGAATTTGAACTCACAGAAAAGAGAAAGAAAAAAAAAAATGAGATTGCTGCCCCCCGGCCAACCCCCCTTTACAAACTGACCATGATGTCCATGTATGGAATATTTCCATTGGCCAGCTTGGGCTGTCTGGCTGGCTGTGCTCGCTCCCAGCTCCTGCACACCTGCTCATTAGCCGAGTATGAGAAGCTGAAGAAAGTCCTTGATTTCTTAACAACAACTAAAACCATCAGTGTTATCAACATTCTTCTTGTCCTAAATCCAAATCACAGCAGCTACTGAGAGGAAAATTAACTCAACCCCAGCCAAAACCGGGGCACTGAGATACTGAATACCTTCTTTTCCTCAGTCTTTACTAGCAAGATGAGCCTTCAGGAATCCCAGAGACCAAGCGGAAAGGTTAGAGCAAGGAAGATGCACCCTCGGTGGAAGAGGATCAGGTCAGCGAATACTTCAACAAACTGAACATCTGTAATTCCATGGGTACTGATGGGATGCACCCACGAGTGCTGAGGGAGCTGGCTGATG